ATAAAGTCACCATTTATTTTCTGTCTTCTTGGAAATTACCCCCAAATCAAAAAGAAAAGTGAAAAGAAGAAGTGCAAACTCCATCTCAAAAATTTTTAACTGAAATGTGGAGCCAGACTGGGGAGAAAGAGCATCGAAAGCAGTGAAGAAGTAATAGAATGTCACCTGTTTCTTGTCCCCCACCCACAATGATGCCCTCCCCAGAGAAGTAGTAGCTACTTGTTGATAACAGATACTTGGTACCTGCTTTGCATCCTGGGCACCCCTGCGCTCTTTTTTCTTTATTGAGGTATAACTGACATTTAACATTACATTAGTTTCAGGTGTACAACATAATGATTTGATATTTGTATATACTGAGAAATGATATAAACTCTTTTTTCCCCCAAGAATTCGCTGCCCAATCTCAATCAGATCTCCCCACCTAAAAACACTTAAACCCAAACTTTAAAATTATCCACCACTGACCTATCCCTCCTGAGACATTATTAAGACTGCTGAAGTGGTGGCCTCCCTCGTAATAAGTATTAAATTTCACTTTGCTTGATCAACGGATTATTCAGATGACATTTTTGGGCAGTCTACACCGTAAAGACAGATGAGAAGACTGAGGGTCAGAGAAGTGGGTTGCTCAAGGTGATAGAGGAACAGAGCCAGACACTGGTCCAGACCTTCTAACACCAAGTCCAGGAGCCTATGTTAGAACTGGGGGGACCCTGAACAGCATCTCCTCCAGTCTTTAAGTTCACAGAGAACTGGGAATTTAAAATTTACCTGTTTACACAGCCAGGCCTCCAAGTTCCTTAAATTGGGGGTTTATTTTGTATTATTCTCCCAAAATAGTTATTTTTTAAAAAAGTTATTTTTAAGACTAATATTTCATAATATCTTCCTCTGACATCACACTGGATTTAAGGTTTATATGACTTACTTCTATCGGCACCCAAATCTGGAAAAATGCCCACTTGCGTCGTACTTGCCAAATAATTCAGCTCAGGTCTTCTTTCAATTTCTCTTGCCTGCCTCCCTGGGCGGGGGGNGCGGGGAGGACTCTTAGATGAAACTAAGAACAATAAGTCTATGAAAATAAAAAACTTAGGAAAATCAAGAGTGACAGAACACTAAAACAGATCTCTGCTGGACTTCTTTTCTTTTGTACCAAGACAGACTCATCTACAAAGATACTATATCTCTACCTCTTTGTCTTAAAGCTCTTTCCTTCTTTCAAAGCCTCCTTTCAAAATGCAAATGGTTGTGGGAGGGCCATTTTTTTCCCCAGCTTTACTGAGGTATAATTGACAAATAATATTGTGAATAATACAAATAATTTATATTAATACATTTGATATATAAAATAGAATAGAAACAAACAATATTGTGAAATGAATACAACAATAAATTTACCACATTTATCACCTCACATAGTTACATTTTTGTGTGTGTGGCAAGAAAATTTAAGATCTTCTTTCTTAGCAAATTGCAAGTATACAATGCAATATTATTAGCTATAGTCGCCATGCTGTACAGTAGATCCCCAAAACTTATTCATCTTATTACTATAAATGTGTACCCTTTGACTAACATTCCCCCATTTTCCCCACCTCCCAGCCACTGGCAACCCCCAATCTATTCTCTGTTTCCTTCAGTTAGACTATTTCACATGCCACATATAAGTGAGCTCATATAGTTTTTGTCTTTCCACTTCTAAGTTACCCAGGAGCCCTGGCAGAGTTTAATTAACAGAGAAAGGTTAGAGCCTAGAACGAAGCGCCTCTGGAGGGAGTGAGACGACACTGAGAGAGTAGTCGAAACTCTCCTTTCTTCTCCATTTTGTGCAGGATTGTTTTAATCATTTGCCCTGCGGCGACTGGACATGTTTCCTTTCCTTTCTTTTCAATTTCTCTTTCCCCCTCTTCTTGCTTTTTCTTTTTAGTTGGAAAACAGCATAGTAATATACGGACCCATAGACATGGAGACAACCTATTCTTGACTTTCTTACTTACGGGTTACATTATAATGCAGGTATGCTATTATTGTTACTATTATTAGTGGAAAAAGGTAAGTGCAACACAATCAGCTATCTGTTTGAAATCTTGAACTTGTCCTTAATTCTTTCAGAGACTAGTATAGCAGCAATGAGGGAATCATTTTTACAGAAGAGCTAAACGGCTTTTCTGAAGATCAACTTTGTGTTCTTAAAGAAATTAAAACAATTTTTCTAAATGTGCACTCTTATTTCCTGAGATTCTCTGGTAACGTAGTTCAAGCATCCCCAAAGAGCTCCCTCTCATTTTGTAGTAAAATGCTATTGATGCTGGTGTCCCTTAAACCACATAATTATTGGGCAAGTCTGAGGGTGTCCCTATTCCCTGACAGTCTTAAAAATTTTGCTTAGGTACCCCATAAATTTTCTCTTTTGAAAACCACTTACTTGCATGGACATCTAAAAATCAACAATTAAATTTTCCTCTCATTAGAGCATCTCATCCATCCAACCCATTAAATTTTATGACCTTGGGCACCTATGAAGTCAGTTTTCATTGCCAAACCAATCAGCTAAATATATCAGAAAAAGTTTGACTTTGTTTTTTAATTTTCAAATAACGTGTTAACACATGCTGTTGTGATAATCGTGTTCTTTTCTAAGGCCTAACTCTAAGGCACATGAATTCTTGGAAGGAAGTTTTCTAAAAATCTGTCACCCTGAGAGACAACAAGGTGCTGCCCAATGGGGCCCTCCTTCTGGAGAAAGCCATGTGGGAATAGTCCCTGTTTGGCAACCCAGGGGATTTTACATTCCAGCTCAATAGACAATATAGTTTCACCTTTCTTTTGGATGGGTGAGTGAGAGTTTCACCTTTTTATTGTAACTTGGGAGAGAGGTGAATGAAGAAAAGGTGGTGGAAAAGGAAAAGCAGAAGATCAAATTTAAGAAAGGATTCACGGGGAAGTGAGTGAGGTTCTGGAAGTGGCTTTCTGCCAAGCAGCCCTGTGTGCCTATGCCCTGAAAGTCTCTGGGAGCTCCTATGGCCAGTTCACATTAGCTGGTAGGCAATTATTCTGGGCAGGTCAGTAAGGTCATTTTGGTTCCTAATAAGGCAGGTAGACTCCGAATATTGGCTCAGAGTATTATAATCCCCTTATGAGCCATTTCTGGTTGAGGCCAAATTCTCTTCCCTGTGAGCCCATCGACACTCCTGCAGGGCTGGCCCAGCATATGATCTGTTTTGTGTGAGTGGCAGAGAGTCCTCAAGACCCTAGGGACTGGCCCTGTCATGAACTTGTCTAGTACAGTTACAGCTTGATCAAGACCCTGAAGTACCACGTAGTGTTCAAGGCTGGCCTCACGGTGTTATCTGATGCTATTGCCAGGATTGAACCCATTGGAAGCAAACGGAAGTCGGGACACAGGTTGTTATAAATGTGCTTAGAAGCTTTCCTTTGTCTATTTCAACCAGACCTTTTACGTTCATCACAATGTATTCTGTGATGATAATATACAAGCCCCAGAAATATTTTTTCTGATCTCATAGAAGGTGCTACTCCAACACATACTCAACTCTATACATGAATCATCAGCCAATATGAAGAATAAACACAGAATATTGTCCTAAATAGTTAGGATTGTTTTGGGCATACAGATTCCAGGTACTGTTGTAAAGTCAAGATAGTTTCTCAAATCATATGCATATATTAGCCTTATTTGTTCATTACAGTTATCCAAGTTACAGTGATACACATTCTGGCGAAAATGTTTTCCTGACTATTCTTATTAACAAAGGCAGAGTAGAAGAGAATCCAACTCCTACTCCTTAGCACAAATTTGGAGAGGGATTTCTAGTATAAATTTATTCATTTGCCTGGTTAGCAATTCCACCTCCAGCTCCCAATATCTGTGTCATTTACACATGTCTATGTAATACCTGAACCAATAAATTATATTCCACATGCTTATGCATTTTCATAACGATCATGTTATTTTATATTACAACATAGTTTTATGAAATACTCTTAAGTAGCTAGCTTAATTTTCCTTCCTGATATTTTATTTCAAGGCAGATTTTAGAAAGCATTAAAATTATATGTTTTTATAAGTATTCTAAAATGGATATGCTTTTTATTCTTATAGATTTTAAATAAATTTATTCTTAATACATTAATAAATAACAATTACTTTTCTTTTTTTTTTTTTAAAGATTTTTATTGGAGTATTGGGGGGAAGGGAACAGTGCTGGGGAATTGGGGAAGGGGAACAGACAAATTGCTGTCATTTTGTTCTTCAGTCTAGTTGTGGAGGACGTTGCTTCACTGGCCCAAGTTGGCACCATCATTGCGCGCTTCCCGGGCGAGGCACATCAGTCGCCGGCTTCTGGACGGCCGCTCACTGCGGCTGCTGGCCGCTCACGCTAGCTACATATGTAGCCCATGGCAACCCACTGCCACAGGGGCTGCAGCCTACGCCGTCGCCAGCGACTCACAGCAGCCCAGCTCCAGGTTGAGCTGTTGTTCAGCATCTTAGCTGTAGAGGGCAGTGTCACTGGCCCTCATATGTGGGATCCCAACCGGGGCCCTCTGGCGTCCCAAGCCAGTTCTTAACCATCGCGCCACTCGGCCGGCCCACAATTACTTTTCAAAAGCTTACCTTTTTATCATTTTTCCCTTAGATTGTGATTTGTCTTTTGGATATCACAAAAGACATAAAACTTGTAAGAATAAAAGTAAGTTAATTTCATCTTTTTGTAGATGTTTATACTGATAATTTATGTTTAAGTGCAAGAAAAGAAACTTCATTGAACTAATAAAATATTACTTTTTCAGGAAAGAGATTAATGATGTGTTTGACATTATGTATACATACATAGTTACCCAAACCTACTTTCTACCAGAATTTATATATATTGATACTCAGAAAATCAGTTCATTTAAAAAAAAAAAAGCTCTTTTTTGCTTAATATAACCCCACTTGTGTTTAAATATGAATCAACATGTAATGGTGTTACCTTAAGATTTTAGTGACTGCGGTCTCCTTTTCTAGAAGATTCCTTGCTCTGATGCTGAAAACAGACTTGCGAAGCTGTAAAATTACGAGTATGACTTTAGTTTTGGAATGTAAAGAGACAACATACTGAGAAATCATTACATACATTAAACATGATTTTTTTCACAAAAGGATCATGATAGGATTGATTCTATCATTTAATTTTATTTTTTAGTTTTACTTTTATTAGGCAGAGCTACAAACAAACTTGTGGAGCCATGTGTCACAGCTATAGATGCATTAGCTAAACTCACTAGTAACAATGTCTGTTACCTTATATCGGAATAGGCTATTCATTTGTCAAAGAATTTCATGTGGAAATGAATATGGGACTCTTTATTGTCATTGTTCAGTAAAATGTCCTCTAATCCACCCTGCATCTGTTTTTGGTTCTTGGCTTGTGACCCAAAACTGATCTGAATGATCAGGATGGAGAGAAATGAAATGAGATGAGCCTTCAAGGTTCCTTCCTAGTTGGTAATGATGACATTTTTCCAAGGAAAAGGACTAAGAAAAAAACAAAAATCTTAGAGGCTGACTAGAAACCAGAACATGCATTCCCCGAACTCAGCTCTGGCCTGTTTGGTAGTGGCAGAAATCAGACTGGTGACAGGTGTATAGGGAGCCAAAGTGGGCAGGAAAAGGGCAGAGAAAGAACAGGGAAGCACAGCATCCTGAGAAGATGCATCATAACAAGTAACGAGAAAGTGTAACTCCAGTTGTCAGACCAAAGGTAATACTTGGAGAGTGACCTGTTCCTTTTGATCAATAGAGTAGATTAGATTTCCTGAGCTTAGTATGAGACGAGTGACTATGACAGGTATAGGGTAACTAGGAGTCAGAATTCTTGCTTACTAGAATTGAAAGGCCTACTTACGAAGGTAAAGTTATGACACAGTAGATAGCAAAGTACTAGGCGATATGTACAGTAGAAAAGATGAGAGGGCTGGAGGACCTTGGGTGGAGGAAAATAGGTCTGTCTGAAGTAGTCAGCAAAGACTTAATTGAAAAAGTGGAAGTTTTATTGGGCAGTTACAATTTCTATAGGCAAAGGCGGGGAGCGCAGTGGGTAAAGGACAGAAGTTGGAAATGCATGCATAAGGAAAATTAATTCAGTGCAAACTCTTAAGTGCTGAGCTAGGTGGGTCTTTAAGCAAGGCAAATGGAGGAAATTCTGTAAGTTATACCATGTTTTAAACAAAGTTGTAAGAAAAAAAAAAAGCAGGAGACAGAACTCTGTGTTCAGTTAAAATAGACCATCCAGTTTCTTTTAAACGCGAGTTAGGTAACTTGAGGTGCAAACTTACAGAGCTCCAATTTGCCAACAATCTATAAACAATGCTGTAATACCAAGCAATATATCCACATGGCCATAGCTGGAGAAGAACTGGAGTCATAAACCGGTCTTTTCAGCAACAACCGACAACCTAGATAACATCATAACTAGCAATATAATTTTCATATTTCACAGGAGATCTGTCATAAAGGGAAGGATCATTGAACACACTGGCAATTTCCCTCACATGAGGGAAGGTGGCACACTCATTTTTTTTCAATAATGAAAAACTGAATTCATTTCATTATTCACCAGAATGCTCAGGAGAATAAATGATTGTGTAGACAAGGATACGGTTTTTTTTTTAGAAATTACATTTGCAGGGTAGCACACAATAGGCTGTTTACCATGATGTATTATGAAACTTCCCTTAAATCTTCTCCCCTCTCCTAAAAACTGACTTTTGGCATTGATGTAACGACCTCACGGCAACAGCACATCCCCTAAGGAATGCTGTTTAGAATCACTTTGGAAACAGAGGACTCAGCTGAGCCGCCCCATCATGGTGGCGCTTCTGCTCGTTTGATGCCCAAGGCCACACTACGGGGGCCCTGAGACAGCAAGTTTTAGGAAAAGACTTCAGACCGTATTACTCTAATTTCACCTTCAAAAGACAATGATATGCCTTAGTCACCTTTCCCTTAGTGTCAGGTGATGGTCTGAACTCAATCGCCTATCTACTGCCCTGCAACCGAGCAATTGACATTTGAAATAGTGTTCTTCATGTTTGGAAAAACCTTTGCAGAAACTGGGAATAATATAATATTGTTTACAAAATTATTTCTGCAGTAAGATTGTTAAAGGGCTATCAAATCTCCTTTGTCCTAAACTTGAACTCATCAAAACAATATACACTCAATCTGTACAACAGAGTACTTGAGAACTGGTTTTATAACTAACAGCAGAAGTAGCAAAAGAATAAATATTGTAACACAACTTCAGATTCAGCTTTGGAATGTTCTTGAAAGAAGAAAGAAAGGAGATATCTGTATCTACATAACTATCTATCTATCTATCATCTATCTTTATGTATCTTTGATAGTCTAGATATGTATTTAGATAGTTATACATTTTAACTGTTCTTTTTTCTAATAAATAAAGAAGGCCTATAGTGATTATCTAGTTATTCCTTCAGTTTTTTCTTATTTCTGTAGTAAAGCTTTGCACATTTCTTGTAGCAAAGGGTCTTTTCTGGCTGCTCCTCACAAGGATTCAGAGCTACACTGCTCTGCAGTGCCCTCTCCTGGCTTCAAAAGATACTAACAGGCACCTAAAATGATCAAAACAGAGATATCTATTTAATAATTTTAGATTTGAAATTGTAGATTCCAGCTATGAAAGGTGTCAGTAATTGTGCATTCTGGATCTAAACATAGCAGAGATGTAAGACGTAAAAGGAAGCGTAGGAATGCCATATTTACATAGAATTCACATTGAAAAATACAAGAAAGAGATTAGTTGAAAAAGCCTCTCGTTTTGGTGGTTATATTTTGTAAATCTAATACATCCAACTCCACAAGATAACCACTCTTTGACTGAATTACTATCAGAAATAATTAAAATTGAAATGTTCAAACAATACAGAGATGACTTTTTTTTGTCTTAAATTTTAATTTAAAAGAGCTCTCCAGAATTTTGTACTTTAACATGAAATTCAAGAGCCTAGTTCAAATCAGTTTGTATAGTTATTTGTGGTTGAATAATTTGGAGCTGATGGACACAGCAATGGATGAATCTAGCGCGGTTTTTTATTTTGGTAACGATTTTAAGTCTCTTAATCCACAGGTTCTCCACTATCCTCTTACGGTTGAAGATCCTGAGCCATTTGACCTGTAGTTTGTGGGAGCCTGGATTTTGCTAAATGCACATGCACGGTATAGCGTATATGTTCCTCTGTTGTCTGTGTTTCCTTTAAATTGGCAGCTGGATCCAGGGTTTCATCAGATAAAGATGTGATCTCTTTGGCAAAGCCAAAGGAGGTGTCATAGTCTGTCACCAGAAGGCACATGAGGTCTGGCTGTCTCACTTTTTGTGATGTTAATAGTAATAATGTTCATTGCTTAGATCATTGTTCAGCCAGTTTGGAAAATTTTCATTTCTTTTTCATTCATTAGTTGGAATACTTTTATAAGGAGGTAGTTCCCCTCATGTATTATTTGGTTACTCAGTAGTACAATTCATATGGAAAAGGCAAGGTAAATGTTGATTCTTTGCCTTTGCTTATTAGTTTTTATGTAATTAATTGGTTTTCTATTATCCTCTTAAGGTGACCAATTATTACTTTAAAAATGTCATTATGAACTCTAGGATTTAAACATATTTGATTGTTTCAATCTGTTACAATTATTATCCCATGGTAGGTCAAATTATCCCAACTGTGCTCGTTGGGAGTGTGTTCAAGTTGGCCCACAGGTGCTTTTGACACGAGTCTAGTAGTCTTTGACAAAACTTCTCAGGTATAACAAATTATCCCCAGCTCATCCCGTATGCTTCCTATTCCAAATCAACAACTTCCTCCAAAGAGCCCTGGTTCATTTATTGAGAAATGGTGTTTTCAGAATATTATTTAGATTCCAGTGATACTCATGACTGCTGAGTTCGTCATTGTTTTGAGGACTTTACTGAGTTTATTCTGGTATTTTCAATTTAAATTCAGGAGATAGGGTTTTTACCTATCTCTTCTATAAGAATTCTGTATCTCCACCCCCTTCCCCCAGTCAAGACCCTTGGTTGTCAAAGACAGAGAAGATGACAGAATTAGACTATCCCATTATTACTCATTAGTTTTATTTCACATAGCATAGACAGTAGTCTCAGAATTAAAATACCCATTCTAAAACAAAGATACAATTAATGAATATTTTAGAAGTGTTTGCATATAGTCTTCCCATTCTCCTCTCTCATTTGTATTCTGGTACTATAGTCATATCAGCAGAGCAGATAGCTATTACATATTTTACTCTTCATTTTAATCCTCATGTAGTCATAGTTTTATACATAATTATATCTTGAATGCTTGCCACCAGTTCTTATATCAATGTCTTAGGGTTATTTTTAGAATTTATTTTGGTGTACAAAGCATGTTTTCAGTAATTTCCTCAGGAAAGGCTCATGAAAACATCATTGCTTACACCTGACAATGCTTACATTCTTACATCTTGATAACAGGGTGTTGTTTTTTTTTTTTGTCACTTTAAACTTGAAAGTCAGTTTTCCTGGATATAAAAAACTTGGTTCACATATTCTCTCCCTGAAGTACCCTATATATGTTACCCTAATTTCTTTTGACACAAAGCATTACTGCTGAAAAGTCTGATGGTAATCTAATGTTCTCTTTTATAAACCACTTGTTCATTTTGAGCTAGATACCAATTTTTTAAAAATTTAAAGTCCTGTAATTTGTGTGTAATATGTCTTATTTTTGGTTATTCATGGTTGATATTTTCAGGTACATATATGCTTTCAATAGGTACAGCAGTTTCAAATCCTTTTATATTTCAGAGAAGTTTAATAGCTTGTTCTGTTCTATTGCTTTAGTTTTCTTTTTTGGGGGCTCCTATAATGTAGATATTGGAACTTCTTTGACTTTCTTCAATTTGTCATTTTCTTTCAAATTATTTCTTTTTAATTTCTTAAAATTTCCTCTTCTTCACTTTGTATTTCTCTTAAGGTATCATTTGATATATGTAATCAGCTTATG